AAGCTCCAACTTCCAAGGTTCTTCCTTCTTCTCTTCTCCTTCCAAGCTTACACCACCAAATGAGCTTCTTATGGAGAAAATCACTCAAGAATGAGGGGATGAGGCGTTTTAGGGTTTTCTGAGGGTGAGAGAACAGATAAGGAGGCTGGGGCTTGAACCATTATGTTCCTTATATAGTGGCACACCCTAAAAATAGGGTTTCTGGACACAGGACGTACGCTGGGCGTACATCCTGTACGCTGAGCGTACGCCAAAGAGCACCCGCGATCCTTTCCTTTTATACGCGGGACGTAACCCAGTTTACGTTAGGCGTACCCGAGCGCGTTCCAAATTGCATGCATGGCCTCCATGCCAACTTTTCTCCATAAGGGACCATTTTTGCCAACAACTTAAAAGTGTCATAACTCCTTCATCCTATATCCGTTTTCGATGAACTTTATATCCACGGAAAGGTGGCGAGAAGCCCTACGCTTCTAGCAACACTCCCCCGGCCCGAAGCCTTCTCGAATAAAACTCAAGTCCCATAAATGACCAAAATACCCCTAGCCTTGGCTTCTGAAATCCATAAATGATTTTTTTTTAGAATAGGGCGTTACATAACGTTAGGTGTGACTTGGCGGCAATCTTAAGCCTCAAACTTTTATGAGCCGTGACGAACCACGTCGTTAGTAAGACGTGCTTTAAGATGTTAATTTTGTATATAATTAATAGACAAAATTACAAAAATGGTCCTTGTGGTTTGCCAAAAGTCACAAAGTCAGTCCCTGCTAATTTTTTTTTATGCAAATGGTCCTTGTAGTTTGCAAAACTTGCAAAGATGACCCTTTTTACTAACACCGTTAGTATTGAGCCGTTAGAGACTGAATCTGTAAGGGCATTTTAGTCTTTTCAAGTATAAAGGGACTGAATTCGTGATATTTGATAAACCACAGGGAACATTTTTGAAATTTGTTTGAAAAAGTGAAATAATTAGCTTAAAGAAGAAGGGGGCAAGGCTCGAACTCAGACCTCCACCCCCTTATATCACAAGAGCCCTTACCAATTGAGCTGGAAGCTCATTTAATTATATCTTCCGAAAACTATTTTATATAATAACGAAAACGTTAATACCTAAATAATAAATAAATTACAAAAAACAATTTTTTTTAAATAAAGCAAAATGTATTTTAGCCATATTATAAAAAAATAGTTTTTTACAAACAATTTGTATGTATTTGTATGTATTTATTTTACGTAAAATATATTTTTTTATGTCTCTAAAAAATACGTTCTCGTACAAAAATATGGTTTCGTAAAAAAAAAAAAATCCATGTCTTTGAAATAATAATAATTAACACTACTCATGACATAAAAAAATGTATAAATTCTTTTGGGTCGCTAGTTTAAAACCTTTTTTTGGTTATATGTATTAAAAACAACATAACAACGATTTTGTTATGTATCTAAAAAATTTATACGATTTTTTTTTATGTCAAGAGTAGTATTAATTATCGTTATTTCAAAAAGATATATCATTATTTCTTTCGTATTTTAATCACAAGTTCAAAATCGTATTGATAAAATGAAGAAGAAAAGAAATAATGATATATCTTTTTGAAATAACGGTAATTAATACTACTCTTGACATAAAAAAACCGTATAAATTCTTTAGAAACCTAACACAATCGTTGTTATGTTGTTTTTAATACATATAACCGAAAAAATGGTTTTAGAACTAGCGACCCAAAAGAATTTATACATTTTTTTATGTCATGAGTAGTGTTAATTATTATTATTTCAAAGACATGAATTTTTGTTTTTTACGAAACCATATTTTTATACGAAAACATATTTTTTAGAGACATAAAAAAATATATTTTACGTAAAATAAATACACAAAAATACATACAAATTGTTTGTAAAAAACTATTTTTTTTATAATACGGCTAAAATACATTTTGCTTTATTTAAAAAAAATTATATAAAAAAAATTGTTTTTTGTAATTTATTTATTATTTAGGTATTAACGTTTTCGTTATTATATAAAATAGTTTTCGGAAGATATAATTAAATGAGCTTCCAGCTCAATTGGTAATGGCTCTAGTGATATAAGGGGGTGGAGGTCTCGAGTTCGAGCCTTGCCCCTTTCTTCTTTAAGCTAAATTTCACTTTTTCAAACAAATTTTGAAAATGGTCCCTGTGGTTTATTAAATGTCATGAATTCAGTCCCTTTATACTTGAAAAGACGAAAATGACCTTACAGATTCAGTCCCTAACGGCTCAATACTAACGGTGTTAGTAAAAAGGGTCATCTTTGCAAGTTTTGCAAACCACAAGGACCATTTGCATCAAAAAAAATTAGCTGGGACTGACTTTGTGACTTTTGGCAAACCACATGGACCATTTTTGTAATTTTGTCTAATTAATAATTATATACTCCCTGTTTTACCCCATTTTTTACTCCCAAAAAATCTATTTCATTCTTCTAACTTATATAAATTGTCAAATACACCTCTTCTATTAATTTGGTTTTAAGAAATATATAATCTATATTTTTTTCATTACAATAATATTAAATAAATAAGATTATATTTATAATACGTAATTATAAGCTTTTGTAAAATACTTTATTGTGTTTTAAAATTTCAATATGTATTTAAATTTTAATATGAATTTGATAAACAAAATTTTTTTTTATAATTAATTAATATTATTTAATATATAACACAATATTATAAGTATTAAATATTACATTTAAATAATAATTAGTAGATAAAAACCAGAAATGTATAAATATATAAAACGAGAGACTAAAACCGACAACTCAAAGTTCATCCTCATTTTGGGGGGAAATGAATAGTATAACACAATATTTGGTGTGATACTATTCATTTCCCCCAAAATGGGGGAAGAAATAAGATAGGGTTGGAGAGGATTGAGGGAAGAAATAGAGGAAATAATGAAGAATGTGAGTGTGTTGGAGATGCTCTTAGGTGATAAAATGCAATACGATGATCATCCATGTAAAAATATTAAAATGTCGACCTAAATTGGAAAAGTGCAAACCATAAGGAAAAAAGCTGTAATTTAGTTTTCTTGTAATATTTAAATCTTAAACCTAACATGCAAACACTACAAACCATAGGGACCAAAACTTTAATTAATCAATATCTTTGTAGAATTAAAAACGGGACCAAAATTGTAATTTCTTAAATAAAAAACGGGACCAAAAATGTAAAATAGTAAGTTAAAAACTGCACGGACCAAAACTCTAATTAATTCATTTTTTTCAGAGTTAAACATACCAAAAATATAATTTCTTAAATCAAAAAACTATAATGACTAAAATTGCAATTACTTCATTTTCTAATAATTAGGGGTAAATGATAGGATATATTTGAACTGAAAATTAATAAATAAAATTGTAATGCCATTTTTATAGTTCGAATTTGGCTTTATATGGAAATATTGTTTACGTAGTATTATTTAAAATAATACATTTTCTATAAGGTAAGCAGTTTCTAATTTATTTTTGACATATACCAATCAAACTAAAAAAATCAGCCTAGCTATAAGTAATCTTACAAATTTATACACCATGCAATTTTTATATTTTTTTATACTGTTTGTTATTAATAAACTTTCGTATTAAGGAATTGCTAAAACACTTTGCAAAATTTCCCATAAAAGATTGCTTGAAGTAACATTGTTCTATCTAGAACCCTAATGATTAAGTTGTGCACTTTAAGCACAAGACACTATAACAATGGTTTATAACTTTCTTATTACAATAAACATAATTTGTTATTTCCAAACAAAAACAAATATTAAAATAATTGTTTTGTATCATTTTTTATTTTGTTGATAAATTAAAATACACCAATTAAATATCAGAAATGGTTGTGTCTATTTTGTTTGGCGTGCTTAGACCAACTCCAATCGGCCTTCAAATTGGTGGAAAGCCTCTATATTTTACTCCAATGGACCTGTAAAAGTATCACTATTTTTGTGGGGAGATTTGTTGGCCGCTATATTTAGCGGAGCATTCTTCCAACACAAAATCACTTTTTCAATATAAATGCATTATTTTATTATATATGCATTGCTTTTAATATTATTCAAATATGTTATTTATTATAATAATATGAAAATATATATTTGGTGTAAACTTTTAGTGTCTAGTTGGAATATAAATTGTATTTTGGTGTTAAAAGGACACAAATTTTGTGTTTTTTAGTGTTTGTGGTTGGAATTGGCCTTATAACGAGTTAAATTTGTAAATTATATTATATTTTATTGATTATTGATCTATTGCATGATGTTGATAAAGTAACACTATGCATCACATGTATTTATTGTAATGATTCTCATTGTATTGATTATCATGTGTTCGCACACACAAATGGTCACATGATATATGAGAGTTGTATTTATTCTAGTTTTAAACCTTTTTCAACTAGATATGATCCTCTTCTTGTGATCTATCAAATTGTTCCTCTTCTTGTGATATTCTCCCTATTTAAACTAGTCATCCCCATTAAATAATTTCATTAAAGTTAAAAGAAAACCTCTCATTGCTAATATTCTTATGTAAGTATAATCATAGTTGGTAAATTATAGTATTGCTTTTGTGTGTTACTAAAACAAGTACAAAATATTGTATTAATTAATCTACATGATATAACAGTTATATACAATATTTATTCCTATTGTACACATGAAAATCATGGTCAGTTGAAACTTGAAGGAATTGGATGTCTTTGAGAAAACCGTACATTGTTATATACATTTTTTCCTAAATTTAATGGAATAAAGCTCAAATAAAATGAATAAACAATAAAAGTCTCACATTTTCCTTGAAATTGTCAGCAAAACAACAATGAGAATTTAGAGAAGCTTATTCTTGGATTATCCGACTATATGAAGATAAATTAAATTAAAAATATATATAATTCACAGCTAAAAATAGATATATTAATTAAGAATATGGCATGATCTTTTACATATCAAATCGTTCAAGATCATTTTGAATCACTCTGAAGAATGTTCATAATTGAAAGCGCCACAGCAGACAATTGAAACGTTGCATCATTTTTCTTGGTAAGTGGAGAAACGACGCCCTTTTTCTGAGTAAACCCATCTTCACAAGTTGTAGTAGCATCCATAACCGAACTTATCTGTACGTTTGCATCAAAATAACGCTTGGAATTGTAACTCTTCATGGCCTGTTTGATACTCGGGATAGCATCAGAGTAGAGTTCAAAACAATCATCCAAACACGACTTTACATACGGATCAAGCTTCTTTGTGTTGTTTTTCAGCAACTGTTTGATGTAACATCTGGTATCAGTAAGGTTATACCGTGTTAGTCTGATGGACATCATCCCAAGGCCATTAAGGTCAGCGCAATGGCTAGCTGGTGCAGCTTGGAGAGAGGTGGTGCAAAATTGGAGCTTCACATTGGGGTCTTGTTGTGAGGAGGTTTTGCAAGTGTCGTAGATGAGGTTTTGGCCATTGATGCTCAGGAAGAAAAAAGAAAGTAAAACGAAGAGAAGAAAGAAAGATGAAAGAAATGATGGAGGAGTCATTTTTGTTGTGTGCTTGGGAAGGGATGCTGTGAGGGTGAGGGTATGAGGGGAATGTTTCTTGTTTTTTTAAGGAACAATGAGTGGATTTATACAAGGAGAGGAAGGCAAAAAGTTGTGTTTGGTAGGAAACAAGAAACTTTTGGAAGTACATAACTTTTTTTCTGTTCCATTATATTTTTCAATAAAAACAATATATATATATATATATATATATATATATATATATATATATATATATATATATATATATATTAGTCTATAACCCGTGGAAACTACTAAACTCAAAATTATTAATCAATTATTTTAAATAAATTACTAATTAAGAGATATATTTTTAGTTATATAAAATTATAATCGTTGATTTAAATAAATACATAAAATTATATCACCTTATAATCTATATTAATTTTATTTTATTTTTTATTCTAATGTTATTAATTTAATGTAATTATAGTGTGACATTTAAAATTTGAAATAGAGAATCCATAGATTGACAAGTGACATGACATTTATTAGAATGTCTAATAAGATGACGCATGACAAAAGGAAAAATAAACATATTATTTTATTAGAATAGTGATATATATATATATACACACACACACACACACAGTAGTTTATAACCCGTGTAAACCACAGTTACAAAATTAATTAAACTTTATAGTAAAAACTCAAAATTATTAATCAATTATTTTAAATAAATTATTAATTAAGAGATATAATTTTAGTTATATAAAATTATAATCGTTGATTTAAATAAATACATAAAATTATATAACTTTATAATTTGTATTAATTTTATTTTAATTTTTATTTTAATGTTATTAAATTAATATAATTAGAATGAGAAATTTAAAATTTAAAAATTGAAATGAAGAATAAATAGGTTGACAAGTGGCATTACATTAAATAGGAGGTCTAATAAAATGACACATGACAAAAAAAGAATAAACCTATTCTTTTATTAGAATATATATATATATATATATATATATATATATATATATTCAAAAAAGTGATAATATTTTAGTCTAATTTATAAAAAAGTCTCAAACTAAATTTTGTTTACAAAAAAACATAAAATACCTGCTAAAACTTCGAAAAAATCATTTTTGGCCGGTTTAGTAGATTTAGTCGGTATTCTGTCCTTTTTCGTTGGTTTTGTCAAAATATTAGGATTTTTTCTTAAAATTACTCAGTAAGCAAAATATTTGGACTTTTTCTGAAAATTACTATGAAATTAATGAATATTATTATTAACTAATTATTTATAAACATAACAAATATTTTTTATTATAAACAAGTGAAATACATTTGTTGCTAATTTTTAGGAATAAAATGGTGAACTAGGTACTCCTCAATTGTTTGCTGACTACTTCAAACTCCCTTTGTTCATCATATGTATCGTTGTGGGTGTTATAGTAAGATGTACTCTGTACGTTTCTCCAATTAAATACAAGAGTTGATAATATTTATTAATACATAATCAATATGTGTCTACTTGCTATTAGACGTGAAGCTATAGGATCACATGTTATTAGAAAATATTATTATACAATGATTTTTGAACATATAGATCTTTCATTATGTTCTTTAACCTAACTACCACCTAACCTACATACATTATCCGGTAACAACCATCGAATTACACACATGTATCGAGAGTGAAAAGTAAACTTTGAATAACAACTTAAATAGATAATCACCCTTCACTTGTTTCTATATATACTGTCATTCCTAGAAATTAGCAACAAATGTATCTCCTTTGTTTAGAATAAAAATATTTTAAATGTTTATAAATTATTTTTTAATAATAATATCCATTAATTACATTGTAATTTTCAGAAAAGTCCCAAAATTTTGACCAAATTAACGAAAGAGGACAGAATACAGACTAAATCTGCAAAACCAGTCGAAAAGGGTTTTTTCGAAGTTTTAGCCAGTATTCTATGATTTTCTGTAAATAAAATTTAATTTGATACTTTTTCGTAAATCAGACTAAAGTATTAGGACTTTTCTGGATATTTCTTATATATAGATATATATATATATATATATATATATATATATATATATTATATATAGATATATAGGGTTAGGTTATTTTGTTCTAACTATCTATGTGTGCATTTAAGATTGATTCTAGACCAATCATTTTAGTTATTTTAAGAAAGTAATTAATGTATATTCAATGTTAAAGATATATTGAGCACTAATTAAACTTTCAGCATTTAATATGCATTAATTACTTTCTTAAAATAACTAAAATGATTGGTCCACAATCAATCCTACAAGCACACAATAGAGAGTAAAAATTTGAACCTAACTCGCTCTCTCTCTCTCATATATAGAGATATATAGATAGATATAGTATATATTATATATAATATATATAAGCACACAATAGATAGTAAAAACATTTGAACCTAACTCGCTCTCTCTCTCTATAGAGATATAATATATATATATATATATATATATATATATATATAACACAATAGATAGTAAAAACATTTGAACCTAACTCTCTCTCTCTCTCTATATATATATATATATATATATATTAACGAATTTTTGTATTTTTTTATTTTTCTAAAAAGAAAACAAAAATTTATTAAAAATAATAATTTTCTATTCAACAAAAAACAAATATCACGTCTCAAAATGAAGATAAGAAACAAGTAAACCGGTGTTTATTAAATGGTTAAATGTAAGAGATATCATAATAATTTTACTTATATGTTTAATATGTCATTTTACTTTCAATCCTTCTATTACAACAATGTATTTCCCATCTTTATATTTGGATGTGTACTAGGACATAACAGTTTTTGGAGCATTCGATCACTAAAAGTACACAAGTCAACATCAAATCAATGGCCGGAGGGAGTGATGCCATTAAACTACACTCTATTCATTGCCACATAGAAGTCATATCACTTTTTACTAGGGGTGAGCAAAAATCACACCGCAACTGAATTTAACCGTATAAACCGCAACCGATAAACTACAATAGTAATAAAACCGATGGTAAAGTTTTATGTTTTTCAAAAACCGCAAATTTGTGGTGCGGTGCGGTTATTAGTTTTAAAAACCGCACTGCACTGCATATATTATATACAATTTTTTTTATTAATTATTTATATATTAAATATTAAAAATAAGAAAATTTTCATGGATGAAAGAACAATAAAATTCTAGAAGACAAAAATGTTGATTTTTTGTTATGTATAACTTTGGAAAATGGTGAAAATTGACAATTTTCAAATGTTTATTGTTAATTACTAGTGATTTGATGTTTTTAAGATATTAGTTGTTTGTGATTTAAATTAATTGTCTTATACCTTATGTTTTTTATTATTACAAATAATATGTTTGAACTCTTAAAATCGTTTGAACTTTAAACTACAGTTGAAAACCACACAAGATAACCGCACCAAGTCCATGCAGTTAATAACCGAAACAAAAAAAACGCACCGCAAAAATAATCGTACCAAGCGGTTTTGAAAATGTATTAACCGCATTTGCGGTTAGTGGTGAAGTTTTGGTCAATAACTGCACCAATCCGCACCGCGCTCACCCCTACTTTTTACCGTAAAAGTGTAGTTCTTTGTCACACCCAAGGAGTTGTGTCACACTTTTATTTTTTTATAATTTAATTTATATACAACTTCATTTTCAATAAAAAAAACATAAGTTTTCATTACTTCAAAAAAAAAAAAAAAAAAAAACTACATTGCATTACTGAAATTTAAAAAAAAATAACATGACATTAAAAAAATCCCACAAACTTAAAAAAACACACATCAAATGTTTAAATAACTAAAAAACAAAAATAAAATAACTGAAACATACTACATAAAGTCGTTCTCCGAGAACTCGTCTTCCGAGTCATCCGGGGGATCCAAATTAAGGTTAATGTGTTGAATCATCTGTCACACCCCGACGATGGCGGAATCATTGGGGTTGCTACGTGAAACATTGATTCATAGTTAACAATATTCTTCGAATATTACAAGATTCAAATAACATTACATTCTTCCAATGTATGAAAAAGAAGAAATACATTGTTTAATGAATCCCAAACGATGACTAATACGTAACCCAAGTTCTATAAAACATATATCAAGAGGACCGATTACTCGGTCAATAGTTTATTTAAGGGAAAATATCCTCCTTACCCTGTAGGCATTCCTCCAGCTTTTAAGATCCTGAAGATACATACGTTTAAAAATATGTCAACAAAAATGTTGGTGAACTTTATAGGTTTAGACTCCAATGATTTATAATCGAAAATACATTTGTGACCTTTTAAGATTATAACTATGTATTTAGTCCACACTTGACGTCGTGAAATATATATATATATATATATATATATATATATATATATAAGTGACTGAACGATTACGTCTGTTTTGACTCATCAGACGATGGTTGTAGCTAGCAACCGCAGGCGGGGCTGTCAACCCGTATAGATCTATACCAATGTTCCACGTTCCTTTCGGATTAACGGTTATAGCACAGAGGGTTTTATACTAAGGTTTTGAGTTCTTAGCGATGAAGTGTTTCTCATACAGAATATCCTTAAATTGTTAAGTCTAGGATTTTTTTTTTGTCGTCATTTGTATTCCGAGCCTTAACAATGTTTGCATTTCTTTGTCGTCACATTCAGATATATAGTTGTACATACACTATTATACATATATTTTTAAGAGTATGTAAATATGTATGTATATATCATTGAAGGCATAAAAATATTACTTCAATTCTTTGCTTTCTTGAAGCGTTAATAGTCTTTTTATAAGTTTTCTTTTTATATAAAATATATTATTTTATATAAACAATCATATTCAATAAAACTACTCATTTTATAAAATATTACAAAATCTCCTTATAAACTCCATTTTTGTATAAAATATCATTTTTATATAAAAATTATCATATTTTACAAAAACTACTTATTTTTATAAAATGTTACAAGACCTTTTTATAAATTC